CTCCAGCATGTGTGCCAGGCAGGGTAGCCATCGCCTCTTTCTCCTACAAGTCTTTAGTTTTCCTTCTGGCAAGCTTTACAGATGGGCAACGGTCCCTGATGCCACGCGGTGCCCCGACGTGCCGCACCAAGTGCCTCTGGCAGAGAACGTGGCTGCTCAGCTCACCTCTGCCTGCCCACCACACCTGCCTGCGGCACGGGGCATCCCAAAAAATGCAGGCAGGGTAGCCATCGCCTCTTTCTCCTACAAGTCTTTAGTTTTCCTTCTGGCAAGCTTTACAGATGGGCAACGGTCCCTGATGCCACGCGGTGCCCCGACGTGCCGCACCAAGTGCCTCTGGCAGAGAACGTGGCTGCTCAGCTCACCTCTGCCTGCCCACCACACCTGCCTGCGGCACGGGGCATCCCAAAAAATGGGTTTCCTGCAGCACAGGAGGAAACCTGTTTCCAACAAAGCTTTATTCTTTCATCAAACAACGCATTCCTTAGCAGAGAGGCTCGGGGAGTGTTTCAAAGCAGTTAGGACTCGTAGGCAGGCAAATCCCTTTCCAGCTGCAGCCGCTGGGACGGGGAGAGGGAAGCGCCGGAGGCGCTGGGCGAGTTTCCCCAGCAAAGCCGGGAAAGGGGCTGAGCCGTGGGTGGCAATAAAGCACGAGTGCCGTGCTCGGGAAGGTACGTCCGTGTCAGGGGCGTTGGTGCTGGCTTCTCCTTTACCCCTTTCCCTGCAGCCGGACCATCTTGAAGTTGCTCTTGCTGAAGCCAACACCAGATTAATCAAATCCTGCAGCTGGGCAGGGTGCCTCAAGCCCACTGCAGAGGCAAACGCCGTTTCCTCCATCCCCATAGTGTGAAAATTCAACGTGCTGCCGGGGACGCTCTGCCCGGGCACGCTGCCTGGTACGGCTCTTGCTCAGGTCTGACACTGTTTTGGTATGACTAATGTTTATGTTTGTCTACTGGCAATTTTTTCCCCACTTTTTACAACAAAAACAGAAGCAAGAGAAAAAAACAAACAAACAAACACACCCTTCGAGTAACAGTGTCTACCACAAGGTTTTTTCTCCTCGCCAGGGTCTGAGTCACGCTGGAGCCTGACCCACAGCTTCTTTTGGATAAGCCATGCTGGGGTGCTGCGTTTGGGTGGAGGATGCTGTGAAGACACCCCGTGTCCCCCAGGGCATTGCAGGGTCCTCCGGCATGGCTGAAGGCAGTGGCCCCGGGGACGGCTGCTCTGGCCGTGCTGGCCCCAGGAGGATGGGGGAAAGTCCCCTGGAGCGTTTCCCACCGCCCACTGTGTGCTCCAGTGCCTCCACCTCTCCTCCAACACCCTCCAGCTGAACTTTCTAATTTACAGGCATTTAAAAAAAACCCAAAAAACCAACAAACAAAGAAAACAACAAAAACCATAAACATCCTTTTTTTTTTTTTCTTTTAATCGGCACTGATAATGAAACAAACAGAAAGATAAATTCCCCTGATCCCAAGGATAAAATTGCAGCAGAAATAAGGCTCCTCCCGATGTGTGTCCAGCTGAAAATGTGGCAGCCTCGCAAGTCCGTGGCCGTCTCAAAAGGCTGGTGGGGAAGGAGGGCTCTGTCACCAGCAGGGAGCCTCTCCCCTTCCTGTTTTGCAAAGAAAAAGGTGGTACAAGGTTGGCTGGTGACCCTGTTTTGTCTCACGGTGGATAAAGTACTTTACCATCCGCTCCTGGCAAGGATGTTCAGTCAAAGATGCAGAAACAGGCTGATGTTGCAAGGGCTTAAACCCCTGGCAATAAATTAAATCCTTGGGGAGGTTTGCACGTGCGGGCTCCTTCCTTCCCCGCATCCCCAATTTTCAGCTAGTCCGTGAAATGTGAGCGGTATTGAGCCGTGCTCTTCTCCATAGAAACAGGTAGTTAAAAACCAAAGTCCAGGCAAGAGAGGTTCACGGCCAGCCCCAGAGCAGAGCCAGGACAGCAGGCGAGGGCAGGGCTCCTCACGTTGTAAGCTTCGCTGCCCGTGGCCACGCCGCCCTCCCGGGGGTCTCGGCTGGGTGAGCATGGCGCGGCGG